CCCCAAGATCCCAGTTTTGTGGCCTTGGGTAAGATGTAGAAACTTGTAATCCACATTTATGAAAAGAATTTTAAGTACAGCAGGCAACAATCTCACTTCACATGAACAAAATAGGTATCTCCACACCCATCTTGGTTTCATTTCCAGCTGTCATTCCATCTGAGTGGAGGACATTTAACCTCTGCAAATATGACATTTTCCCATTTCCTTCAGGGGGTTTCCATAGTGCTAGGGTGTTGCAGGGCCCCCCTGTCACCTTTCCACACAGGTATTCCCTGAAATGGTGCTCAGCTCTTTCAGCCCTCAGTCACACACAGTCTTTTAGGACTGGCAGCCATCTTGATGTTTCTTGGCCTTCCTTGGGGGCACATCAATATTTCTGTGGTTTCTCATGCTCTTCCTGTGCTCTTTCCCATTTTCTCATCTGTGGTCCACATCACAGCATGGCCCCGCTGTTCCATGCCAGCATACCGTGCCAATTCATACAGCATGCCCTGCCAGGACACAGCCCAGTAAACAGTTTCAAATGCCTTCACTCTACGACTCTGATGTTTTGTCCCTACACTTCCTCCCTGCCACCTTCAGCCCACCTAGTCTGTAGGAAGCCAGATTCTCTTCCTCTGTTCTTCTGCAACGACCCATGCCCAGGTTGTCCCTGCCCTCCTAAGGGAAAAAGTCTCATTCTTAGTTCTTACATGACATCCTCCCCCCGCACTGGGGACAAGGCTAGAGGTGTGTTTAAGTGGAAGGGAGACAAGAGAAGTACCAGAGAAAATACAGAGAACAGACGCTAACATCACTAACACACCCACCACTTAAAAGATTAAATAAAATCACAGATGAAAGACTCTACCACATTTTAAGAACTTCATAAATGGTAGTTATTTTTCCCCATCTGACCTATTAGACACATTGTCTATATCACTTGTATGGAAATTAATCATATACTGTCATAGAGTGTCTCTTCTACTGGCAATTTACTCTTATATTTTTATTTTACTTTACCAGTGTCTATACTTCATTCTCTCAATTCAGTATACCTTCCTGAAGAGCATAGTCCACAGTTTATAATTAGCTGAACCTAACAGAAGACTAGGCATACAAACAAATGCCTTAAAAATGGGTGCTGATGCAACCTCAGAAACTCAAAATCACTGTCACAAGCAATTAAAGAAGATTCTTTGTGGAAGAAATCAGAGGGTTTTTTGCTGTTGCTGTTTTCTTAAAATGATTCATGATTGTATTTATTCTAAATGTTAACCTCAGAGCCATCTGGTCTATGCAGACACCCTACATATTAAAAAGAAAGATTTTTCAATGTATCTATTATTCTTTAAAATCCTGCATCACAAACCACCACTGGGTACAAATATATTTCAAATTCTACGCTGGCCTCCCATTGCAAAATGCTAATTGAATTGACTTCCTGGAGCCTTGATTAGGGTGCATCACAGATCTGGGATTCTTGAGTTGAAAACAGACCATAAATGTATTTTGCTGAGAAAAAATAGCATGCAGATGTCTTAGCATCCAAGAGAGTTACAGAGTTTGGTCTTTGGTCTTTGAGGATGGAGCCACTGAGTGAGACATTGAGGAGAGCTACATGACGGGTCACAGTGGTCTGTCTCTCAGCCTTATCCTAAACCTGGCTAACTGGCACCACCAGGGCACCCTGTTTGGTGTGCATGGATGGCTATGCTCACGTTGAAGGGATACAAACTTTACAATTATGTGACCTTAAGTCACTTATTTCCCTTCCGTAAGCCAAAGTGTGCTGATTTGTAACTATATAATGAGTGCCAACCTCCCTGGGGTTTTATGAAGATCAATGAGAGGAAGTATATCGATGACTTTACATGGAGTTGGGTATATTTTCATGACCAGTAAGTGATAGTTGTTGAATCTGCTGCTCCAAGAGGGGAAAGGCAGGGAAGAGATGACCACCCGGATGCCCTGGAGAGCAGCAGCTCCAATATTCACACTTAGGCTTACACCATCCTTTCTGCAGTTCAACAAAGATGCCCCCTTCCTAGGTCCTAGACTTTTGTCACTGTGACAAATACCCAAGAAAAACAGCCTGATAGCAGAAGGATTTATTTTGGCTCACAGTGTCAAAGGTTTCAGCTCCATGATTTCTGGGCTGTAGTAAGGCAAACATCATGCTGGAAAGGCATGAAGGAGAGAGCTATTCACTCATGGCAGCCAGGAAGTAGAGAGGAGCAACAGTAAGGGGCCAGGGACAAAGTATTTCTTTCTAGGGAAAGCCCCCAGTGACACACTTTCCCCAACTAGACCCCCCTTCCACAGTTCCACCACCTCCCGATAGTTATTCAAATTTTGAATCTATCAGTGGATTCATCCATTGATGAAGACAGAGTCCTCATATTCCAACCACTTCCCAAATCACTGCCCCACCTGTGAACACTGCTTATATCAAGAGACCAACCAAGCTTTCAATACATAGCCTGTTAAGGGAACATTTCATATCCAAACCAAAACTCTACAGCAGGAACATGCTAATGTCACGGAGAGGCTCTTTACCCATAGGGAATTTGAGAATCTGTATCAGAAGTCATCAAATTGGCTGCCCCACAGCCGTGGGATATATCTCAGGACATTCCTCAAAGCCAAGTATACTTAGAATTCCCTGTGCACTGCCTATTTAAAGAGAGATTTCTCTTATTCCCAAAGTAAAGAATCGTTGGGTGGCAAGGAACTGTGTATCAAGATGAGTTACCCCATATAGATGGATGAGGGGCTTCCACAGCAGAGAAGCGAAGTTCTGCTCAGTTCTACATAACTCTCCTGGCTCTGCCCTCCTCCTTGCATCATCCTTTTTGTCCCTAATCTGATGGCAAGAAGGCTGCAGCTACCCTTGTCTCCCATCTTTAATTAACAATTTCCAGTGAAAAAGAGTAAGAGTTGGTTGAAAATTTTCTGGAAAGAAAAATGGAAGGTTTTTTGCATAAGCTGCCAGTCAACATCTGTCACAATGCTGGCCTAAATTTGGTCCCATTATTATTCCTGGGCCAATCCCTAAGCTTGTTGAATGCCGGAGACTAACTAATTGACTCCTCTTGGTACTGGGTCCCAGGTTTACCTCTGAATCAATCACTGGGGCAATGGGTATAGCAAACCTAATTAGCTTAAATTCAATAAGGTCCATTCCTGGAGATGGAGTCCACACCCTAATCCTCAGGGCTGCCTTAGCAAGAGGGAACGAGCAAGACGGCTACAGTGCCCATGACTTTGCTGGTATTCAATTCACCATCTCTTCTGATTCAAAAAGCAATTATAAAATACCTTCTGTGTGCCAGGCGGAGTGCCAGATACCAGGAGGACATAAGAAGTCAAGTGTTGCTGGGAAGAATAAACAAGGCAACTTATGCAAAGTGCCCAGTGCAGCCCTCGGCCACCTAATACATGCTCAGTGTTGTCTTCATTAAAATGAATAATTCATGAGCGATCCTTGCTATCCAGGAGAGGGACTCAAACTAATAAATTATAGCAGTGTGCGAAGAGGAAGCCTGCGGGTGGCATCAAGGAGAGAGATCACATAAGGAGTGTGCAAAAGGCCCAACCTCAAGAAGCTCATAGCTCAGTGCTTCTTAACCTGGACTCACATTTGATTCACCTGAGAAGCTTTTAAAACTCCCCATTCCAATTAAGTCAGTATCCCTGGAGTGAGACCATGCACCAGTTTACCTTTTTACAGATCCCCAGATGATCAGAATGTGAAGCCAAGTTCGAGAACCACAATTTTAGGCTACTGAAGACATAAAATGCCTACATGTAAACCATTTACCAACAATTAAAACCAACTGACAGGCTTCCAAGGCTCAGAACAGGGAGGGGGCACAGTGAGGCTCAGGGGAGGGAGAGGGCATGGTAAGCAGGAGCCTTGGGGAAGGTTCCAGTGAGCATTAGGGGACAGGGAGAAGCTTAGGGGACATAGAATAACTGAGATTTGCCTAATCTGAGCTATTAGGGATGGTGAGCATGTGTGAGGAGGAACTGTTGAAAGCAATAGTATGTGAGCAAACCAATATTAGTCTGGATCCAATCGGGAGACAGAACCCACACAGGAGTTCAGCAAGAGCAATTCAACAGGGAGAGCTCTCATTGACTTCCATAGGAAAGCATAAGAATTACTAACTTCAGCAGTGGATTGAAGTAACAAGGTGTTTGTCACTAGGAAGTATGGAAATATAGGAGCTGCATGTATAAGGAGCATCCAATACCCTCAGGGCTGAAAAAGAACCCAAGGGAAAGCCTGCCTTCCTTTGCTGAGATCTGGACTTTGTTGGCTCAGCATGGCTCACTGAACAGCAAAGGGCACATGGTGTTGCTTGTTGGAACTCTGCCTACTAGGGAGCTAGGAAGCCATTCACAAGAGAAAATGGGCATCTCACTGGAGCACACACACCACCAAACCTCAGGCAGTGTGGAGTTCTGGGAAAGTGGCAAGAGCCACTGACCTGAACCAGGAAGCAAAACCTGATAGTGTGCCCTGTGAGCCAACAGACACTCAGAAGACTTCCAAAGATCTTCCCAGGGAGCTAACAAGGCAGGGATTCAGAGCAGGCCCATCTTTCCTCCATATTCTGCTTCCTCTCTGGACAAAGCCTTACAAGATCCAGGCTAGGTCTGGCCTTGTGTGGTCTACTAGGGATGGATGGAAGTATAGGCAGTGGGGAAGGCTGTTGGGAGGAGATGGGCTGTAAATGGACCTCAGTGGAGGCCTGACCTGGAAGCTAGGGAGAAGATGGGAGGGAGGAGCTCCCAGGATGGATGTGCAACATGAACACTTTGAACACTTGCTGTGGGTGATAGTGGACTTGAGCTCCCACGGGACTCAGTGCCAACACACACACACCAGAGGTTTTCTCCTTCAGGTTTAGGGGACGCACAGTCACTGTGACCTTGACTCCTTTGCCAGATGGCACCTTGAAGTGGTGATTCCTACCCAATCTCACAGGGCAAATGCTTCTTTCTTTCAGGAGGAGAAGTCACCAAACCACGGTTTGCTCAGTTCTTCCATGGCAGCCTGGCCAGTCTCACCATCCGCCCTGGCAAAATGGAAAGCCAGAAGGTGATTTCCTGCTTGCAGGCCTGCAAGGAAGGGCTGGATATTAATTCCTTGGAAAGCCTTGGGCAAGGAATAAAGGTAAGGAAGGAGCTGGCACCACCCTCATAAGACATTGATTTATGAGGCTGAGATAGCCTAGAGCCTGAGCATACCAGGAAACGGTTGTTTCCAGAAGCACTGCACAGAAATGGCGCCATGGTCATGGAGATGTGGCAGGGGGTGGGCCGGGATGTGGGGGGGAGTGGGATTAGTGTCTATGACTTTCCTAATGGACTTTTGCTGCCATCTCCTGAAACTCCTAGATCTAGATCACATCTTTGTGTATAGTCAGTCCACCACACCACAGTTGGCACCTGTTTGATGTCTCCCTGGAGGAAGTCGCCGTACTTCCTTTGTCTGTGGGTGGGCCAGGTGCTTTGTTGTTTATTTGCCTAAGGAACTGAAGCAGCATGCAAGAAGACATTTCAGAAACATAAAAAATAAATAAATAAATTAGGACTCTGTACAACACAGATTAGAAAGGAAAGGGAAGACCACCAAGGAGAGGGAGAATTAGAAAGCAGGTATGGGGGTCACTGAGTCTTACATTGTTAAGGTGAGGCACATGTTTCACTTCCAGCAATCTCTAGAATCAAAAGGAAAGTGAACAGATTCATGATGTTTATTGCTCAAGTAAAATTAAAATACTCAAGAGATCTGAGAGAGTCAGAGACAAAGGGAGCAGGGAAGGATTGACTTAAGGAGCCCCTGTTGGCCCTTGGTCCTTTCTGAATAAACAGCAGAGTCAACATCATCAATCACCATGGACCCTAGTGTGAGAAAGCAGTCCCTAGATCCACTTAGGAAGTCAGGACAGTTCACTCTCTGCCCCTGGGGACCAGGACAGCACCACCAAGAACCCAACAGCTATGATGGTTTCCCTCCTTGGCCATTTTCCAAGGGAATATATCTACCCCCACTTACTGGCCATCGCTGCCTGGTGCTGCCATGGAGCTGCCCTCTTGCCTTGCCCTGGGTCTGCCTTTCCTGGACAGGAAGTTACTGTCCAGCAAAATCACCCACCAGGAGCCTGTTCCTTTCAAGGTTCTGATGCTGGATGTCCCTGGAGGGGCTGGGGATCCAAACAATTGTGGTGCTCTTTAACTGTGATTACTTCAGGAAGCATTCCATGCACACTTGGTTCCAGGCTGGGTCCTAGGATACAAAAATGAATGCTCCATTCCAGTCTTCAGGGAACTCAAGAGGACATTTGTAATCATGCTTGAGAACCACAACAAGGGTGGCAACCATATTTCCCAGGCCAGGCACCATTCATTTTAAGTGCATTATGGATGTGACTCTCCAGGACACCCCCTTGACAAAGACACAATGAATCTTCCCGTCATTCACAGAAGGAGTTGAGGACTGAAAGAAAAAAGAAAACTCATGGAGATCCCAAAGTTAGTTAGTCAGGGAAGGCTCCCTAGAGGAGGTAAAGCATGAGCAAAATGTTCAAGGATAGGTAAGAATCAGGCTAGAGCAGGAGAAATGGAGAGAGAGCAGCCAGCCATTCCAGGCAGACCCAAGAATGCAAGCTATGGCAGAGGACCCAAGAAACATCACAGTATGATAGAATTTCTCCAAGGCCAGTGTTACAGGTACCCAAATTACAGAAGGAAAAGGCAGAACGTGGAACCAAAGAGGGAGGCAGAGATCATGTCATGGTTAAGATGTTAGTAATGTTTTTCTGTCAGTAACTAGGAGTCACTGAAGGCTGAAACTAGAGAGTAGGTTGTTAGCCATGTGGGGTTCAGGTCTTCACCATGGAGACTGTGTCAGAAGGGAAAATGGAAGGCGTGAAAAGGCATAGTAAGAAAAGAAGAGTTTCCAAATCACTGTTTAATATGGCTGAGACACACATGCACACACCACACACGCACATTAACTAACCACCTACTATTGGAGGAAGCACCCAGATGACCTCATGTGGGAAGGGCTTCTCTGACCTACTGTATGTGTTATTTCCTTAGAGTTTTGCCCACCCAGGGCTACAGAGATCCCATCCTCCAAATCTCCATTTTTTTTCTGATTCTGGATTTACTGCATCTTCTTTGCTCTGAAGCATCCCATTGGGGTCACAGCTGCAAGTGCCAGTCCCTATAGAGCAAATAAACCAAATATGCTGCACTTAAAAGAATTATAAATGAAGAACCATAGCCATTTCTACAGAATAGACATAGCCTGTGGAAAAGGGAGGTGCTAAAATAAATGGCCCAAAAATGTGTGGGGGCCAGAGGAGGTTAATCTGGCTTTTCTGGGTACCGCCTGTTCAGAACCAAGTCAGTGCAGATGATCTGTCTTCATCTCTGGTGCATGGCTGGCAAGAACCAGAGCACTGTGTGAGAAGTTAATAAGACACAATTTACAGAGCACCCACTGGGGGCTATTTTACATTCATTATCTCTACTCTTCAAAACAAATTAAATATTATGACCTCATTTCAAAAAAATAAGGGGACTGGGACTCAGGGGCCTGTCCAAGATAAATCCAAGTTCTTTCTTCCTCACCAGCAACTCAGATTCAAAGATAGTCTTGGAAATTATTACAGATAACTTCCTTTCCTCCCCGCATTTATCCCTCATGTCTTTCCTGAATAATGACTGCTATTTTATTTGCCGGTCACTGGCCTCCTTCCACTTCTCTGACTGCTGGAAAGAAGCAAGGCCTTCCTGTGATTAAGGAGACTCCCCATCAGCTCACAGGGCCTGGCACAGGCTCCTTGTTACAATCTTCTTCCTCTGGATCCTGCATAGTTCTGGACATTTCTCCAGCATGGCTGGAGTTTGTAAAAGTTCTGGTGGCTGCTCTCTTATCTCCATATAAAATGTTATAGAATAGCCACATTCCTGAAACATATGCTGTCCTCATTTTCATAGCACAGCCCCTGCCATCGTCATCTTCCCAGTGTGGGAGAACAGAAAAAAGCAATGACTTTGGAACAAAACAGTTATAGATTCAAATCACAATACCACCATTTACTAGCAAAATGACCCTGGGCACAATATTTTAATCCCTTACACACCAATCCCTCATGTATAAAAGGGACCTAGTTTGTAATAATGTAGGAATAAATCCCCCCTAGTAAACCCAATGGGCTTTCAACAAATCATAGGTCCTTTTGTGGCAGGGGAACCTCTTAAGTAGCAGGTTATCATCTGGTCCAGGCAGGTGGCAGGTCTTTAAGAGAATGGCAGGGTACCTAGAGAGCCATAACCATCCTGTCTCGCTACCCCTGCCCCCTGGGAATAGTCAGCCAGAGCTTTGGGCAGAATCTTCATTGACTACCCAGATTTCTAGGCATCTGGAGAAGCCACCTGAGCCTCCAGGAGAGGTAGCCATTCTGCAAAGGCTATCTGTCTAGCAAGGCTCACTATAGCTACAATACAGCCTCCCATGGTACTGTAGCATGGTCACTCTTTCCTGGGTCCTCCAGTAAGCCACTGTCTCCTGCCCCACTGGTGATGCCAATACCATGTTTCCTGCTTAACCAGACCCATTCACAGAGTGGGGGAATTCTGCAATTAAGAAAATATAAAAACTAACTTTGGAGGGTTTTATTGATACTGCAAGAACTATTTTGATGGGGGGATTACTGCCCACCTTCATGCTCTGTGACAGCTCTCCAGATGTGCTGGCAGCCACATTAAGGTGTAATCTGAAGACACAACACATTCCCTAACCTGCATTTTCACAATGGGTCCACAGAGGGAAGGTGCCCTATGCTGATTGCCATGGGACATGCCAGCCCATCTCTCTAGAAAAACCCATGGAGTTTTTCCATTCAGCTCTCATGTAAGGGGCAGAGACTGGCCTCCTCTGCAGAGCTCCTCATCTATTGCTTCTTGTATGCTAGACCCTGTGACAAAGCTGAGGAAAAGCAGACCCTCCTTAGGGAGCAGACCCTCCTTGGGAAGCTGCCAGTCTGTTTAACAGACAGACAGACAGGAATAGCACCAGGAGACTCCATTATAGGAGGGGTGGTGCAGGCAGAGGAGGACAGAAAACCTCATAACATAAGTGGTCTTTTTTAGAAGAGTAATTCTGCATATTCTCAAATCTGAAACAGAATACTTGTGAAACATCTCAGAACTAACTATGATGCACAATTGTGTGAGTCAGGGCTGCATATTCTGAGCAGGTGACATATCCCAGGTAGAGATTTATCTATCCAGAGAGGCTGGCTGGGTGCTTCAAAATCTAGCACAAGGCTGCTTACAGCCAGAGGTCACAGCTCAGAGAGACCATGCCCAGGCTTTGAGAACTGGAACTGGATTATAGGGAAGGAACAGCAGAGAAGACAGGCTTGTCCCACAAGCAAAGACTCAATGCAGACAGAATTACAGCATTAGGTATTATAGTCTAAGCTATCATATGTTGAATACCTTGTAAATTCTAGGATTCCATTTTATATGGGTTGGGCATCCCTAATCTGAAAATATAAAACATAAAATACTCCAAAATCCAAGACATTTTTAGCACCAACATGACACCATAAGTGGAAAATTCTACATCTGATCTCATATGATAGGTCACAATCAAAACACAGATACATTAAAAATATTGTATAAAATTATTTTTAAACTATATGTAAAGGTGTATGTGAATCATAAATGATTTTGTGGTTAGACTTGGGTCCCATCTTCACAATATTGCATGTATATCCAGACATTCCAAACTTGAAAATAACCTCCAAAATTTGAAATACTTTTGACCCCATGCATTTCAGATAAGGGATAATCATCCTGTATACATTATCCATTTTGGCCTCAGACAGGTAGAGCTGATCCATATTTTAAATGAGAAAATGAAGTCAAGGAAGAGGAAGTGACTGGTCCAGTGTCGTACTTCATAGTGTGTACTAGAACTGGACTATGATAGTCCAGAAAGCCCATGGTCTTCCAAAGACACCACATAGCTCTGAGGAAGAAGAATCATGGCTGGGGAAGGGCTTACTTCCTCCAGCCAGGCTGAGATATTACAGTAATGACTCCAGAACATCAACCGCTTAACATGACAAGTTTGCTTTTCATTTGTTTGCCTAGAATGCTGCAGGTCATGGAAGTGGAAGAGAAAAGGCTAAAGCATCATCCCACAGGCATTTCTCTGCCTCCACCCAGAGTACCAGGCCTTGCTGCCTCTCCTATCTCATTGGACAGCTGTGGTCATGTGACCCTGCACATTTGGCACAAGGGGGCTGGGAACTGTGCCCCCACTGCACCCAGGAAGAAATGGAGAACAGGGTTTGGTCTGTACTGATAATGAGTTCCCCTGAAAAGCCAAGTGACTAAAAAGACTGAGGGTTGACAGGAGATGATGCTAGGTAAAATGTAGGTGTTGGGGAGACTCATTCATCTACTGGGACTTTCAGAAAACTAGGGCTAGGTTATTGGATTTGGGAATAAAAGTCAGGATCCCTGACTCTTCCCTAAGAGTTGGAGGCCTCAAGTAGGAGGTAACAAAAATCACTCACATGGTAGTTAAAGGAGACAAAGATAGAGCCATCAGTTAGTTAGGGACCACCATGCAAGCAATTATATGGTTCAGTGTTCCCAGCAGTGCTCATGAAACATCCACCACCTACTAGGTCCAAACATCGATCAGGGTGCCCATAAGAGGACATTAGAGTCAGAACAGGAAAAGCTAATATAGATAGATTTTTCCTTAAACCCAAGAAAAGAAATACTCAGCCTCCTTCATAATAAGAGAAATACAAATTCAGACTACACTAAGATGTCATTTTGTCATGTATCACATTGACAAAAATCCCAAAGTCTGACAGCACATTCTGTAGTTGAAGTATTGAGAGAAAAGACACTCTCATAGACTGCTAGAGTGGATATTGACACAATTACAGCAATGGGGAGCTGGCAACATTGAAAATTTCAAGGTTCATGTACTCTTTGACCTAGCAACTTTCCTTATAGCAATTTATCCTACAGACATATGTGTGTATTTATAAACTTTATGTGTACAAGATCATCTATTTGTGGCATTATCAGTAAAAGATTGGAAATAACCCAAAAGTGTATACTAGGAGATTGCTTTTGAAAACTATAGTTTATCTATGTAATAGAATACTATATACCTGTAAAAAAAAACAATGAGGAAGCTGGTCAAGTACTGATACAGAAAGATCTCCAAGATACACCCAAGTAATAAAATAAAGTATGATATATGTTATTTTTAGTGTAAGAGAGGAGAAAGAGGCAACCTATGTGCACCGATAATATATTTATCAGAATGCTTAAGTAAAAGAGTCGGGCTAGAATAGGTTATGCTGCAGTAACAATTGACTTAACATCTCAATGGTTTATATAACAAAATTGTATTTATTGCTCATGCTTCATATCCAGTATAACTTGACTGAAGTTATGATCCATACCACTGTCACTGTAAGACAGATGCAGGCTGACGGACCACCTCTAAGAGAATTTTGCAGGTTTCATAGCAAAGAGAAAAGACACAGAAAACCATGAACTGGTTATTAAATCTTCCATAAGAGTGTAACCCAAGCAGTGTTTCTGCTTACATGACATTGACCAAGCAAGTCAGATGATTGCTAATGGACACAACAGGGAAGAAATATAAATCCTGCAGGGAAGGGATATACATAGTCATGCCTGTTGACAAAGGGGAAGGCACATACAACCCTCCCACCAGGAGAGGAAACAACTAATTATGTACAATAATTAAATCTAACTGTAAGAAATATATTAATAATGATTACCCATGGGACTGAACTGTGGAAACTGGGTGAATGGGAGATAAGAGTAAGATGGACACTTACCCCATATATACTTTTGAACCAAGTGAATACATTATCTGTTCAGAAAAGTAAATAATTGTCAAGTAAGTGAGGTACCTACACAAAAACATTCACGTCCCCCTTACCCTCTTACCTGTTACATGAATACTGAATACATAGTCTGAATCCAGATATATTCTTGACATCTTATTGATAATAATTCCAAATAATTCTTGTTCAGAAATGTGTCAGAATCAGTAACTCACAGAAGTACAAAGGCAGTTCTCTGTTCCATTTATTCAAAGATGAGCAACTGGGCATGGTGAAGAGCAAGAGTCTGGACCTAGCTTGAGCACCCAAGTCACTCTGTGGGGAACATTGTGGCCACATGGGTCTTCACCAAATGTGAGATAGCAGGGACTTAGGGTGGAACGGATGAATAAGGAATGCCCATGTGACCAATGGGTAAAACTCATGGAAAGCCATGATATCTGGAAGAAAAGGAAAAACCATTAACTGAAAAATGATCACAAAGGTTGAAAGTTAAGAAGCTGCATCTTGGGCCAGGAAGTGGATGGAGTGCAGCAGGAGCAGTTCAAGGTCAAAGTCAAGAACATCAGAAGGAGCCAACACCCAAGTTTTGGACTTGAGCTGAGTGACTAGGAAACCCAAAGGCTGAAACTCAGTAATCCAGACCACCTGGGTGACATAGAGCTTGGGTCACCCTTCACCAAGGCCTAGGCTACAGGAGCACTGTGCCTGGGTTTTCAGAATTCGCTCCTGTGGCTCAGGCCAATATGACCAGGAGTTTCAAATCCTGGGGGAGAACTCCCAGGAGGGTCCCAAAGCCCACCAGAGAGCAGCAGGAATTGCTGGTGAGGTTAAAACAATCTTTGTGCACATGACAACTTCATTGGCAGATACTCTGGAGATGGCCCAGGAGTTGGAGAGCTTCTAGGGCACTCTCCCTATTGCTGATCATTCTCTCCCATGATGCCCACTTCTTTCTTCCAGTATCACTTCAACCCCTCTCAGTCCGTCCTTGTGATGGAAGGTGATGATATTGGGAACATCAACCGAGCCCTCCAGAAGGTCTCCTACATCAACTCCAGGCAGTTCCCAACGGCTGGCGTGCGGCGCCTCAGAGTCTCTTCCAAAGTCCAGTAAGTGGACACCCCATCAGCATAGGGCCCACTGAGGCAACAGTGATGGTCCCTTGGGAATGTTCCCTGCAGACAAATTTGCCTTTCTCCAGCTGTCTTCAACTCTGCAGTCCCTACTGGGATGCCTTGATGGATCTGTGTTCTCCATTTGCTTTTTAAGGGAACTCTTACGTTGTTTTGCCAACTCAAATCTACCTTTCTGTATTTTATTCCATATCTAATCTGATGCCTGGAAGGCACTTCTTCCTATAAATTCTCAAACAGCTGGGTTTGAAGTGGTCTGATTTAAGGGCACACCACCTGGTGCATGGTAGGTACTTGACAAATGTCTATTAATTGAATTAAACTAACTAACCCAGCTTCGTAGAGTTCCTAAATATTCTAGGTAAGCTAGAGAAAGAAAAGAAAGAGCCTGGTTCTTGTTCCCAGGCATCAGACTTAAATTGGTAAGATGAAATGGTTACTGAAGTCTTTGGACAACTCATTTACTGGCCTATCAAACCACTTCTCAGACACCCCAGCTACCTGGGAGGACTGCTAGGAAGGAGACACCCCAGAGGCTCCCAGAAAGGGGAAGTGAAGTCACCAGGTACCTAAGGCAGAAGGAATTAAGCAAGGAGGAACAAGAGTAGAAAAGATGAGCTGACTGCCACATTGCTGGGGCCTGGGAGAGGTGACCATAGGAGACTGTGACACTCAACAGAGCAATGAAAGGGTCTTCCCACCTCTGAAAGCCCAGGGGTAGATGAAGGCACCTCTGAGTCAGCTCCACATTGGAGCAACAAAGGGGGACCAGATTGACCAGTGTTCAGCTCTGAGACCAGGCTTCTCTGAGCTGCAAGGAGAGGGGGACCCACTGGGGTTGGCATGGAAGAGGTAGAAGAAAACTGGGAGCAAGAACCCACCACAGCTCCTATATCTTCCCAACCCAATCAGACTGCTTTACCCTGGGGGCTCTTCCCACAGCATCTGAAAAGATGGCTGCCTCTAGGGGGACCAGCCAGCATTTCCAGAACATTCCTAGGCTTGCTTGATTTAGCTCAAGTCTTTGGCCTCGATGACAGTGGGGACTACCAATGACACACAGTCCCCAAGAAGTCTGAGGAGAGAGTCAGATCAACTAATCTCCACTGAGCTCAAACCATGACACAGAGTCAGGGCCACTTCTTTTCTAGAATCTTCTGTATTTAATCCTTATTCCTGGGGGGGTAATTAGTGCTATTCCTTTGTATAAATGAAGAAATGAGATTGACAGCAGTCAATTACCCAGCCCACAAATGGCAGAGCAGGCTGTGAACCTTGTCTGCCTAACTTCCCAGGCTTGGATCTTGTTGTCACAAGATACATTTGTGGCAGCATACCAGGGAAAAGGAGGGTAATTGCGGTGTTCCTGTGCTGCTGCCCCTGGAAGAGATGCATTTGTGTGATTCCACAACAAAGAAGGAATGTATATGCTGAAGCAGGAAAGTTTAGCCTTGGGATCTCATTTGGTAAGAGAGCTATAACAAACCAGTTAGACAATTTGCTTATCCAATACTAATGTGCATAACAAGCAGTTGCTATCTAATTAATGTTGTCATTGATTAGTTTGTTAAAGGATAATGAAAGCTTTCATGGTTTCTTGTTGCTGCCATGGAAAATTCTCATTCCTCCCAGGAGTGGATCTTTTAAGTCTTTGCATTGCTAGTAGTTTGGATTATAATGCGATTTCAAATTTGAAAGTCTTTTGGCATCCTCAGAGACTCCTAACAATCAGGATACCTTGACAAGGACTAGAGGTGGCCACCCCTTGCTGGTGGATAGTTAAAAACACTCGCTCGCCAGTGCTGTGACTGAAGGTATTTTCCCAGGTGCTTTGGGGAAGACGTGTGCATCAGTATCCCAGACTTGGATGCCTTTGTGATGGTTCTACAGGCCGTTGAGCCCCAGATCACCCTCCAGGGCACAGATCGCCTCTGGAGACCTGCAGCCCAGTTTGAAAGTGCCAGAGGAGTGGTCCTCTTCCCTGACATCAAGATCGTGAGCACCTTTGCCAAAGCACAGACACCTGGGGACATGAAAACAACAGGTATAAGTGTATATGGGGTCCTGAGGAGGGTGGGCCTTAATTTCTTACAGCTATAGAAAATCGTAGTGCAGGATGACAGCATTGCTTACCATGGCAGTTATAATAGCAAAACAAATTAACAAAGCTGGAAACAACCCAGATGAACAACAGGAGGGGAATGATAGAAAACTGGAGGAAGGCATTTGTGCTAAATGCTAAGTGTTAATAAGCAAGATGCAAAATTACATAGTATCCACACAGCGTGATTCATCCATGGAAGAAGGAAAATGCCAAGAAGGAAACGCACCTAATGCTAGCAGTGATGCTCTCTGAGAAACACGAGGAGAACCAATTTGTTCTTGCTTCTTTTCACTTTTCTGCAACTGCAAAAGTGTTCTATGAGGGCCATGTGTTAGTCCAGTCATCAGAGGAAAAGCTAAGGATGCAGACAGAAAATCTAACTTCATTTTAACGTACACAGTCAAAGTTGGGTCTTATTCAGCAATCGTCTCTAAGCTCCCAGGAAACTTCTGAGTTGTTATTTCTACCAGTTTCATTACTGGGAGGATTGCTCATAGAAAGAGTAATTTAAATTATCTGCCAGGGAGAAACAGTTTCACTGAAAAGTATGGTATGTGCTAGGGGGAAAGGAAGGGAAGGGAGGAAGCAAAAAACCAAGGAGGGAGGAGGAAGGCAGAAATCCTTCCTTTTGCTGCTCAGAGGGACTCAGGATTGGAAAGGAAATGCCCATTTCAAAAGCATCTTTTGCTGCCTCTTCCAAGAGAACTCTTTCAACTCTCCCTCTTCCCCTCTGAAAGCCACAGCTAATGATGTGCTGGTGCCAGTGGGTGTGAATCCCTGAAGAGCTGCTTCTGTAATAATCCTAATTACCCACTGCCTTAAACCACACTGGTCCCTGGTGAATAGGTGCTCAGTGGAGGGGCAGCCCCCCTGCACTCATAAAGATAGTTGGTGTTGCACCACCTGTCCAAGGAGTGTGGTTTCCTAGTTACACACCAAGGTACATTAGGTCATGTGATCTCTCTTCCCTTGTCCTCATTTGTGGCTAAAATTGGACAAGAAAAGGAAGCCTGCTGACCTCAGTGGCTATAGCCCAAGAGTATCCAGATTTGCTGCATTGACACCAGCATACAGGCAATGCTGTGAGAAGCAATTATCCGGGTCCACATTTCACCTTCTATTCATGAGAGGTGTATGCAGAGCACACAGTCAAGTGCCGGAGAGCTATTATTAGTACTTGTAACTTTCTGGTCTTATTGTTCTTGAAATAATCATCATTATGAGTATCTTAAACAAGCAAGCTAATGACATTTGCTACCAGGTCTCAGTGACTGGCTCCAGCATCATCTTCTGCCCTCACTTCCTCCACTGACACACTCTTTAGTATATATTAGCTGTACGGAGGTTTCATTGTGATATTTCCATATGTGCTTACAATGTACCTTGGGTAGGTGCACACCCCATCATTCTTCCTCATTTTCCTCCCCTGATCCGTACATAAAATGATTTCAACAGGTTTGTTTCATTGTTCTATTTTCATACAAGTATATAAAATACATCTCCATATTCACCCTCCTCTGCCCTCCTCATTTATCCTCCCCACTCCTAACTGCACCTGCCTCTAAGAGGAGCTGTTTTACATTTGTATCCTTACCCTTTAAAATGCTATCTGGCTCCTGAAGACAGGAGCCTCTCCCCCCCAACACTCTCTCTCTCTCTCTCTCTCTCTCTCTCTCTCTCTCTCTCTCTCTCTCTCTCTTTCACACACACACACACACCCCTGTGTTAGTTCACACCCTTTGCTTTCTTCTCTGGCTGGAAGGCCCCTCTCGCTTCCCATCCCCTTTATTGCTGGCAAACATCTCTCTGCCTTCAGCATTGCCTCTGGAAGGTCTGCCTACCACCACTCTGACGCCAGGCTGGGTTCATTTCCTGTTCTGTATGTTGCTGGTGCCTCCCTCCAGCACACAACAGTGTTCAGCCTTGGTAGTGATTCTCTGTCTATGAAACCACATCAGGAGCTTGCAGAAGGCTTAGCCATGGCTCCTTTGCCTCTGGATTCCTAAGCCAGAAGTCCCTTTCAACACAGTGGATCAAGGAAACTGCAGATGGAAAACAATACCATAGTGCAAGCAGGAAAGAATAGGGAGGATATGGCAGCAAGGACAGGACACAGCCCCAGACCCAACTCTGCCTGCCCCATCAGGAGGCAGGAGCAAGGATGACTGAAACTCACCTGTCAAGAAAGTGGAAAACACCCGGAAATGATAAGGCCACTTGCAATTATATGTACATTACTGTTAGTGACAGACAGTCTTTAAGTGTCTATTATGTGCTTTTCGGTCTTGCTAACAGTACCTAAAACCCTTGTGGTTGGTGAACAGTTAAAAATTAAGGCTACAGAAATTATTTATAAATACAGATACATACTTATACAGAGAGACTGAGAGGGAGAGAGGGAGGAAGTGAAGAAGGGAGGGAGGAAGAGAACAAAAATATTTTGGTACCACTCAAAAAATAAACAAAATAAAATAATTGTTCAAAATAAGTCCCTCAATCCTTGGTGAATCTTTTTTTAAAAAAACCTGTTTTCATAAGTGTTTTATAATGCACCCAATAGTTAGTCTACTTTATAAATAAGTCAATATACTAATTTAAATGATCTCCACTCACAAATCTTTCAATGAAGAAGTGAAAAATCAAGAAAATTTGAAGACCAAGGACCCAGAGGCTACACATTTCCAAACTGTGGGATCAGAACAACATGGTTTCCATCGTGCTTCTCCCCTGCTCTCTGTGTAACTTTGGGCAAGTCTCACCATTTCCTTGGCCTTCCATTTCCCCATTGGTGAGATGGGAATACTAACAGTACCCTTCTAATGTCAGTCTATTAGGATTATATTTGCAAAGTGCCTGGCCCATAGCACACATTCATAAATACCCAACCACCTTCATTTTAAGATGGGATTTTAATTCAGAAATGCAAAACTCTACCCAGTATGCCCATGCTTAAGACACTCCTTTGACAAATTTGGAATCATAAAATCCAACAAAGGCTGCTAGACTGACCAGCTTGCTAATATGCATCCCTGAAAGCCCATTAACTAATTAATATGGCTTAATTGATCAATTATTAATGAACCATTGATTATATTGTGTAGGCTTAATTGATTATTAATTAATGATCCAGTTCCATTTGAGCAAAGTGTAATAACAAATTTCCCCAGGATAGCGCCTGCATCAGATTCTAAATCAGGTGCTTCTGACTTTGAAAACTTCAGAGCTTGGGGTGGGAGGGACAGGAATACCAAAGTGACCACATGGAGGAAAGTACAAGAGCGTGGTAGACACTTGACACCCCCTCAAATGAGAGCTATTGATCACCTCCCTTGAACATAGCACTCTTTCCAACACTCTGAAGACTCTTGCTCTCACCACAGATGAGGAAACAGGTGTGTAGTTTCTTTCTAGAACATTTTACAACTTCTCAGTGACACAGTTGGTATTCAAATCCGCATCTTTTGACTACTTTAATCATGCCTCTAACGAATGCCACCAGCCTGGGGTTACCAGGTCCTAGGAGTGGGTTTGGCCTTTGGACTTGCACAGCCTCTTTTCCTGACTGGCCTTGACCAAGGGTGCAATAGCAGGAGGGAGATGAAGACCAAGGACTATGGTCTGAGCTCCTGACACCTATGATTCCCATGCATCTGCCTTCTCCAGCCCCTAAACCAGCAATCTTGGAGGAAATGCTGCACAACTTAGACTTCTGTGACATCTTGGTCCTTGGAGGTGACTTGGACCCCAGACAGGAGTGCTTAGAGCTCAACCACAGTGAACTCCACCAGCGACACCTAGATGCTACCAACTCTACTGCAGGCTACTCCATCTATGGTAAGGCCCTACTCAGTCCCCTCTGCCTAGGATATCCTCTTAGAATGGCCTTGCCTAGAGAGTCCTGAGTGTGACAGCACTGTGAAGCCCCAAGGGTCAAGTGGAGACCCTTGAACTCAGGGCATGGATTTCTAGGCTCTCCTTTGGCAAGTTAGTCTAGCACCATGGGGATCTCTCCCAGATTCTGCTCCTAGGGAAATATGTAGAAACTAGAAGGGTGCCTTCTCTATAATGATTGATCTCAGCAAATGTTACAGAATGTTTGACAGATGGAGGTCAAACATTCCAGACAGAACTCTGTGAACCAGTTTAATTTTGGCTCCTTACAACTTCTGCTTCTGCTCTTTATCTGCCTATAACTATCTTGATTTCTTACCTTTGAATTCACAATATCCACTAGCCTAGTAGCCCCAGCCTCCCACATCTCTTCGTCCCTCTCTTCTGCCTTCCGATGACAGGTGTGGTCTTTTGGCACAGGTGTGGGTTCCATGAGCCGCTATGAGCAGGTGTTGCATCATCTCCACTACCGCAACTGGCACCCGACTTCCCTTGAGGTCCGTCGGTTCCAGATCAAGTGCTCAGAACTCAATGGGCGCTACACTAGCAATGAGTTCAATTTGGAGGTGAGTGGGTCCTGCTGTGGTGGTTAGCAAAGCCCTAACTCATCTGTTCATTCCCTCCTTTATTCAGGAGAACTATTACACCAGGCCCATCTACCACATCTGGTCAACAGCATCTCTCCTTGTTCTTCCCAGGTCAGTGTCCTCCATGAAGTCAGAGTCTCAGATAAGGAGCACGTCAATCACCTTATTGTGCAGCCTCCCTTCCTCCAGTCTGTCCATCACCCTGAGTCACGGAGCATCCAACGCAGTTCAGGTAGGGCACCTAAAAAGGAGGACCTCAGGACCCCATGTGGTCACTTAACTCAACACCATCTACTGAGACAAAGATGCTCAGAGCTGAGGGAGTGAATCCATCAGTGAAAGTGTGGGCACTTCTTCAGAGGCACTCATAACTCCAATAGGGAACCAATCAATTAAGCACAAAGTTACATACAATACAAAATAACAGGTTGGTACAAAGGGCTGGGGGTGGATGATATTAGTCCTTTCAGGCCCAACTCAAAAGAATGTCCTTTATGGAACTTTCCATGGTCCCCTTATACACACACATGCACCACATATCAAAGTACTCTGTCCATACTTTTGTTTGAACACTTGTCACAGTGTGTCACCATCTGGTGGCACTTCTGTCTATTCCTCCTAACTTTTTAGTGCCCATCTCTCAGTGGGAGCTCCCCTATAATTTGAGGGAGAAATCCAGGGATAAAAGAGAACTTACTTTGATTGACACCTATACTGTGCTTCTATAGAAATTCACATAGAATATTGAATTTGCTCCTCATAATTATCCATAGCATTATTAAGTCTGTTACATAGATGATGACAAGGTTGGTGCTGATCCAGAGTCCTGCTGCTGGGAAGTGGAAGGGAAGATCCTAATCTACACGTGGGTATTTTGTTCATGCTCCACCACAAGAATGGGATAAACTTTTGCTCATGTCATGTGGCTTCCTTTCTTGTTCCAGTGGTCCCAAGCATTGCCACAGTGGTCATCATCATCTCTGTGTGCATGCTAGTGTTTGTTGTGGCCATGGGTGTTTACCGAGTCCGAATCGCCCACCAGCACTTCATCCAGGAGTCTGAAGCTGCCAAGGAGGCCGAAATGGACTGGGATGACTCTGCATTGACTATCACCGTCAACCCCATGGAGGTGATCATTGGGCTGGGAGCTCTACATGGGATGCTTTTCCCTCACCTATTTCAATTCTTCCTGTGCCCAAAGCCTAGTCCAAGACCTGTCCTAGCCCAGCTGGCCCATCCCCATTGATTCCTCTGTCTCTGAGCTTCTCCAACCCTCTCGACCAGAATAGGCCAGGTTCCCACCAACTACACTCTCCAATTAACAATATGTGAATTGCTGTCACCCCACAAATAGAACCAGAAATTCCTTCATGCATGCAGCATGTGTGATGTCTATTCCTTGCCTTCTCTATAGATCAAAGATGGCTAATACTTAGGGATTCCATGTTGAATTTTTGATTAATTACTAAAAATTAGGTGGCTTTGCTCCATACTGCCTGTGGAGCTCACTTAAAGGCTGAAAACAAAACTACAATAGCTCCAATTATGCCAGACTCTGTATAGACTATTCTATACACATCAACAACCTGTTAAGTAGAGTCAACCTCTTTATTTACCAAAGCAGAAGCCAGCTGAGAGAAGAGAACCAAAGTGCTCAGATTCACACAATCAGTATTCAGACTCAAGGTTTTCTTATTCTCAAGTTGATTTTTCAGTTGGCCAACAAGTGAACATCTGGACAGAAACTATCCATGCATGTGCAGAGCCCTTCTCTGGACACCTACCTATCAAAGAAGGCCATCTGCCTCATGCCCTTTGCCCATGAGTGCTGAGTGCTTCCAGACACAGCTCTGAAAGTCAGGGGAAGATCTGGAAGAGTCCCTGGGAAATAACAAAATTGATCATTTCAGCCTGGTCCTGTTTCATTCTCACCTGGTCTCATGCTCCAGTTTCATAGCCAGCCTATGACTCAGTTTCTGTAATCATGCACTGTGAGTATAGGGAAGAGCTCAATGTTGGGGGGACTCCAGCATTTCCATCCTCAAAAATCTGAACCTGGAGCATGGGAAATGAGCAGCAGCATGGGAAATGAGCAGGAAATAATGCACCTTGCAAGGGCTGACCAGGTGATATCCATGTTTAGTGAGGCTTGTGTAGGAAGCCTTTGATACTGGAATGTTTAAGGAAGAAAATGTCCTTGGGGGAAGCCAGCCTAAGGGAGGCCTTGAAGAATAGGTAGAGAAGGAGCCTAACCAAGGAAGATGTCACATCTTTTAGGATCTGGTTCACCCAAAACATCAATCCAGAGATAGAATTTTGCTATTAATCACTTAAACACTGGAGGGAGGTAGAATGGGACTGGAAAGGGTGGGATACAGTTTGAGGACACAAGTCACAGGATAAGGGGTAGGCAGGGAGAGCAAAGACATGAACTTTGTCCTTTCCAAGGAAATATATTTGAGGGGCAGCTCACCTGAGTCTTGGCTTAGAAGCCTTCTGCTCCCAGGGACAGAATGCTCCCACCTGGAAGAGGAGTCCAAGATTTTTTCACTGAGAAATGAATGCTTAATGGAAGTCTCCATTTAAATAGACTCCAGAAATTCCATACAAAAAGTCACAAAGTTTCAGTGAATGAATGATATTGGTATAGATGCATCCGCACCAACATTTTACCTTTGGTTGGTGGCTTGGAATTTGCTGATATTTCAGGTCCTTCTTGCTAACCTCCTGATTTCCCTTTCTCCAAAAGAGCTCTTTTCCAGAGATCCCATCTCCATGTCCAGGAGGTGCAGTGAGAAAGAAATTCCAAGGGCTCTAAAAGTTTCCTTAAGAGAAAGAGAAACTTGAGCTCCAGAATGGCTTCCGAAGCACCCCAATGAGTATTTCCTTTCTCTCCCTGGCATCCAGAAACATGAAGGAGCAGGATGTGGGGAAGATGAGACTGAAGGAGAGGAGGAGGAAGCAGAAGACATAAGCTCCAGCATCAATAGCTCTGATGACAGTGAAGAGGAGGAGGAAGAAGGGATGGGCAGACATGAGCAGAGTGGCGCCCGGCAAGCCCAGCTGGAGTGGGATGACGCCACCCTCCGTTACTAGTGCCCACGGGCCTGCTGTCCAGCTCACGTGTCCCTTTTGTAAAGCCTGATCCGATGTATGCCCAAGTCTGTCACACCTGCCTCTGATTTCTATGACAGGTCTGGGGAGGCCTTCTCCACATTCCCAGAACCTGCCCGCTGTGCCTCGGGCACTGCCTGTGTCCCAGCCATGGGGCAGCTTCAAGGACCCCACAGTCATCATCAGTGGAGTCTTCAGGGTAGACTTTGTCCTGCAGCCCCCACTCCTCCTGCCCTGGGTTCATCCAATATCCTGTCAGCCAGTCTGCAGAGTTCTTGCTTTTTTCTGCAGGGGAGAAGGTCCACTTTTATGTCACTCACCTTTCCTAGTCTCAGTGTTCCCCAGGTCCTTTGGTTCCAACTCACTGTGTGTGCTCCTATCTAGTTATCTCTCTCCACCCACACCAGCAGGTCCTCCCTATGCTGACTCTCCAGATGGCTTTATACAGGGAAGGGTGGAACCTCCCATACCTGAGATGCTTGAAAGGAAAACCCTTGTTGAACTGAGTTTTCAGGGAAAGGCAGACACCCACACACACACACACACACACACACACACACACACACACAGACACACAGACACACTCCCCAGCTTGGAGAGTCTTTGCTTCTTTCTGAGGCCACACAAGCTTATATGACAAGTCCCAAACCAAGAATTGGTTCTTGATCATGAGCAGAGCCCATCCATAACTAGAGGCCTTCCTACCTGCCTACCTGGGAGTGCTGAGACCTGAGTGGCTGTCCTGCCTGCCCTGCTGTCACTATGCAGAACCACAGGGCCCAAGAAGCACTTCTCCCAGGCACTGCCCTGGAGACGGCATGGCAAGGCAGGAGCCAGAAGTAGAAGGAAGGGCTGATGGGTAACACTGCAGGGCTTTATCATGGATGCAGATCTGAGGGACAGTGTCAGGGGACTGGGCTTCCCAAGGTCAAGAGCAGCCCCAAGGTCACCAGGCTCTCACTGGTGATCTAGCCTCCTGGTCCCTTACCTCCTATGACATACTGTTTTTCTTTGGAGAAAATATGGCCTTCTTGGATGTATTAGAAAATAAACATGAACTCCATCAGTCTGAGATGGACATTTGGAAATTTAACTGCTTGGAATTAGAAGCATATTTTCAATAATAGCAGCTGCTTCTTTCTTGTGCTCATAAAAGGAGAAATGCTTTGAGTAGAAGGCAAATATATCCAAAACCCTAATTTCTTTTTTTCCTTCTTTTTTTTTAATAAGGAAGACTTTTGTATCTCCATTTTAACATGGACACTTTGTGAGGAGAATTGTTGCTATAGTAACTGGTGGCCAATCTTTTGTGGCCAAGAGAATAGCAGGCAAGAATTAAGGCCATTATAGACTTCACAAAGCTCTGAGGACATGTTTGTTTCAAATGTCTTGAGTTCCTCTTTGTCTTCAATCTGGACAAGCTGTCCCTGTTATCCCATTCCTTCCCAAACCCATTGCCTATCAGTTTGGCACAGGTACAGGGCTAGTCCCTAGCCAAGTGGTATTTGGGTTCCACAGAAAGGTTAGCATCTGCTCAGTGTGTTTCCTGTGCCATCCAAACAGAGGGCTTAAGGAGGGAAACTGCTAGTGTCCTCTAGTCTGACCTCTAGCCAGTGACGATCAGATGCAAGTCTTTGCAGCCTTCTGCTGCAGGGAACTTTACGCAGGGTTTTCCATCTCCTCAAGTGTTCTGTGTAGTGTATCCCTTCCTTCCTTTGAACCTCACAACAGTCCTGTGAAATATTTGAAACATCTGTTGTTAGACCCATTTTTGTGGTGAGTAACCTGAGGGCTCAGAGATTCAGTGTCTTGCTCAGAGTTGTTCAGCGATATAGACAAGGCGGGACTCCCCACCCTTCTCCACTCCTGGTCGAGGGCTGTAGTTATGTTCCTATGAGTTCACCTCACATGCATTTCTGAGCACCTATTACGTACCAGCAGCTGTGGGAAAGGGCTGTGGCTGAATGAAATGAGCCCCTCACTCTAAGGATTTGATCAAGGCCAAAAACAGGCTGAAAACTATAGCAGAGACATGAGGCGGGAAGGAGAGAAGTCACAGGAAGTGCTCTTATTTTTCTCTTCTTGGGAAAAACACTAGAAGCATGAGATTTTATATTCATTGAGAGGAAATAGAGATATCTCCTGTGAATTATCCCAAATTCCCCCTTTCTATCAGGCTATTTCTACTCAGCAACAAGAAGAAAATCTGTAGGCTTGGTTAGGCCTCACAATCCTGTTATTTAAATAAAAAGAGATTTTTCAGTCGGGCATTTAGGATCTACTGAATTCTCCAAAAATATGTCAGTAAAGGGAGCACTTTATACATTTAAAACCAATCCTTTTTGAATGAGATTTTGATTGCAAATATTTAAGTCTAGGGTTTATAAGAGCACTTTTCTCTCTTCTCCATCTTTCAATTTGATTGGCTGGGGAAGCTGTGCCTCGTACCCTTTGGCTGTCTCTTGTGGCTGCATTTCTTATTCCGTGGTTGCATGAGCTGTTTGAAGCATTGGAAAATCTTTGGGTGTTTTTTTGGTGAGGGATGGGAAAGGGAGTAGGCAAAAGTGGCACCTGGCTAGAGCAGCATTTGAGGAAGAAACAGTGACTGGAGTCACTTGCAGAGAAATAGTGGCGACAAAAACTGGAGCCCCTTCCCTCCACTTTTGCTACCTAGGTCACTCTTGCATGCAGTGCCGTCACCAGATTCATCACCACAGTAGTGAATAAGAGGGATTGGTTAGAAAAGTAATGAAAGCTTCTGCTGGTAGCCAGGTAAGAGGTGGGTAAAATAATTTTCTCTCCACCAGATATTTTGAAAAATCATTTGTCAGCCTAGAATTTTCCAGCCTCTGGAGACTGGACACTTAGTAAGCAAAACTCCCAGATGACCCGAACATCCTATGACCTCTGATTCTGACCTCAGCGCCCAGGCAAATCAGACTCAGACCCGCAAGGAGTTTGGCTGTGGGCCAGTCCATTGTTTGTCTTGCCAAGTAGACACCATAACTTTGCTATTCAGAGCTTATAAATAGATGGGCTGACACCTCACAGATGACTCAGATGTCACAGAGGAAGAGAAAGAGAAGGATGAGATTGGAAAAGGCCACTACAGAATTGTCTCAGTAGAGTAAAGCTGTCAACTAGTTGGTGAACCATCTTAAAGAATAATAAAAGCATTTCTATATATTTAATCAAATGTTATAAGTCTGATCAAGGCCCAAATTCATCTAGATACTAAAAGTTGTGATTCCAGTGGAAGCTCTTTTCATTGTCACATTCTTGAATTAACTGATTGTCCTACCATGCAGGACTTAGACCAAAGGTCTCTGCATTTAACAAGGACTGTCTTTGATGGAAAAGGATTCCCAGGAGAATATTCCTGCTGGGAAACAGTGTCCTCTCTCTGGTGTGCTGAGACTCAGCAAACTTTATCTAGAAAGAGCCAGACAGTAAATATTTGGGGGCTTTGCAGGCCATATGTTCTCTGTTGCAAATACTCGACTCTGCCTTGTAGCATGAAAGCAGCAACAGATGAAAATGTAAACAGATCAGTGTTCCAATAAAACTTTTTTATAGACACTGAAAAACAGACAATTTCAATTCATACAATTTTCACATGCCGTGAATAGTTTTACTATTGATTTTTTAAATTTTTCAATCACTGAAAAAATGTAAAAGCTCCTCAGCCTGTAGACCACACGAAAACTAGCAGCCAGCCAGATCTGGTCTGAAGGCTATATTTATGAACCCTACCATACATGCACAGAAAGCCACTTCCATTTCCCAAGGGGAAAGCAAACTGCTATCTCCCCCAGCCACACAGTGGTCTTTGCCTCAAATTGAAGAGAAAGGAAAAGCCACAGTCTTTCGTTAAACACTTGGAAGCTCATGTTCCAGGATGGGAACAAAACCAAAACAAACAAAAACATTCCACGTGTTATTTTTTAATTGACAAATTCAGATAAATATTCCTAGGGGTCCAAGGCCTTGGATCCAGGGAACTAACCAATCACTGAGCACTAACTCCACTGAGGCCACTGTTAACTCCCCCACCAGACTTAGCGCCATCCAGCATGGCTCAGTGCATAATGACTTCTAAGCAGTAGTGCTCATTATCTCAGACTGATTTTCATTTCAGCTCTGCTCATGCCATTGCTATAAAGATGATCCTAAAGACTTGTGACTGTTTGAATCAATAGCAACATAATCAGTAGAAAGCCCAACACAGCACACTTCAAAATTAGCAGTCATCTTGGCTCTACGACTCAATATTAGCAAGGAAAAAAAAAGAGCACTTTTTCTCAATCGTCTCCTCATTTACATTATCCAAATAGGCTTTGCAAAAATAAAAATAAAAAGTAAGAGAGGGAGTCTCATTCTTTGAAAGAATTTGCGAGTGAAAAAAATAGATGATGTTCACATAAGGGAATTTTCCACCCTCTGGGGGATCTCCAAAGCCTCCTGCAATGTTCTCTAGCAAGCTACTGATGGCACAATTCTCTATCTGCATTAGACATTTATCAAGGCTGACAAGCCAAAGCCCTTGGCACAGTTTTATTTTCATGCAACCACTTTCTGTTGACCAGCTGTAGGCGAAGGAAATGAGCAATGCAAG